ATGCATAAAACCTGACACCAAACGTAAATAAATACGTACAAAATATAGTTATTAACTGTCGTTTAAAAGCGAGGTTCGGTAATGCATCAAAATCAGTTGTTTAAATAAAAAATGTTTTAACAGCAAATTTCCTAATAATTTTCAAATGATCAAAGATCTTTAATAGTTAGCCTATAGCCTTCAACCTCTTTTAGAAGTTTTGGATTATTTTTAAACGAGAAAAATTGATTGCAAAGTCCCACATACCCATGTATGTCAGTAATGCACCAAAATTGACACTAAACGTAAAATAACGCGTACAAAATATAATTACTAAGAATCAATTATAAGCGAAATTTGGTAATGCATCGGAACTGTTAGTTTAATAAAAAAAAGTTCTAACAGTTGTTTTTGAAATTATTTTCAAATAATTATAGCTCAATAGTTAGTCCATGACCCTTAACCTCATTTAGAAATTTTAAATGTTTTTCTACGCGATAAACTCTTTGCATAGTGCCGTATAACTATGTGTGTCAGTAATGGATAAAAATTGATACTAAACGTAAACTAACGCGTACAAAGTATAATTGATAACAATCGTTTATAAGCGAGTTTCGGTAATGCATCAAAATAAGTTACTTAACAAAACATTGTTTTAACAGCAGATTTCTTAAATATTTTTGAATGAATAAAGCTCAATAATAGTTAGCATTTCGCTTTTAGCCTCATTAGAAATTTTTGATTATTTTTAAACGGAAATAATTAATTGCAAAGTACCACATACCCATGTGTGTCAGTAATGCATCAAAATTAAAACCAAAGGTAAACTAACGCGTACAAAATATAGTTGATAATAAACGTTTGTAAGCGAGGTTCGGTAATGCATCAAAATAAGTGACTAAACAAAACATTGCTTTAACAACAGTTTTCTTAAATATTTTTGAATGAATAAAGCTCAATAATAGTTAGCATTTGGTTTTTAGCCTCATTAGAAATTTTTGATTATTTTTAAACGGAAATAATTAATTGCAAAGTACCACATACGCATGTGTGTCAGTAATGCATCAAAATTGATACTAAACGTAAACTAACGCGTACATAGTATAATTGATAACAATCGTTTATAAGCGAGTTTCGGTAATGCATCAAAATAAGTTACTTAACAAAACATTGTTTTAACATGAGCAGATTTCTTAAATATTTTTGAATGAATAAAGCTCAATAGTAGTTAGCATTTCGCTTTTAGCCTCATTAGAAATTTTTGATTATTTTGAAACGGGAATAACTAATTGCAACGTACCACATACCCATGTGTGTCAGTAATGCATCAAAATTAAAACCAAAGGTAAACTAACGCGTACAAAATATAGTTGATAATAAACGTTTGTAAGCGAGGTTCGGTAATGCATCAAAATAAGTGACTAAACAAAACATTGTTTTAACAACAGTTTTCTTATATATTTATGAATGAATAAAGCTCAATAATAGTTAGCATTTGGTTTTTAGCCTCATTAGAAATTTTTGATTATTTTTAAACGGAAATAATTAATTGCAAAGTACCACATACGCATGTGTGTCAGTAATGCATCAAATTTGAAACCAAAGGTAAACGAACGCGTACAAATTATAGTTGACAATAATTGTTTATAAGCGAGGTTCGGTAATGCATCAAAATAAGTGACTAAACAAAACATTGTTTTAACAACAGTTTTCTTAAATATTTTGGAATGAATAAAGCTCAATAATAGTTAGAATTTGGTTTTTAGCCTCATCAGAAATTTTTGATTATTTTGAAACGGGAATAATTAATTGCAAAGTACCACATACCCATGTGTGTCAGTAATGCATCAAAATTAAAACCAAAGGTAAACTAACGCGTACAAAAGATAGTTGATAATAAACGTTTGTAAGCGAGGTTCGGTAATGCATCAAAATAAGTGACTAAACAAAACATTGTTTTAACAACAGTTTTCTTAAATATTTTTGAATGAATAAAGCTCAATAATAGTTAGCATTTGGTTTTTAGCCTCATTAGAAGTTTTGATTATTTTGAAACGGGAATAATTAATTGCAAAGTACCACATACCCATGTGTGTCAGTAATGCATCAAAATTGAAACCAAAGGTAAACGAACGCGTATAAATTATAGTTGATAATAAACGTTTGTAAGCGAGGTTCGGTAATGCATCAAAATAAGTGACTAAACAAAACATTGTTTTAACAACAGTTTCCTTAAATATTTTTGAATGAACAAAGCTAAATAATAGTTAGCATTTGGTTTTTAGCCTCATTAGAAATTTTTGATTATTTTGAAACTGGAATAATTAATTGCAAAGTACCACATACCCATGTGTGTCAGTAATGCATCAAAATTGAAACCAAAGGTAAACTAACGCGTACAAAATATAGTTAATAATAAACGTTTATAAGCGAGATTCGGTAATGCATCGAAATTGTTAGTTTAATAAAAAGTAGATTTAACAAGGGTTTTTGTAATTATTTTCAAATGAATAACGCTCTATGTTAGTTAGTCTATGGCTTTTAGCCTTATTAAGAAGCTTTGATTAGTTTAAAACGCAAAAAATTAATTTTAAATTAATACGTACCTACTTGTGTCAGTAATACATTAAAATTGATTCCAAACGTAAATTAACGCGTCGAAAATATAATTGATATTATAAACTATCGATTATAAGCGAGGTTCGGTAATGCATCAAAATTCCCGACGGGCATTTGTTTTTAAAAGTTACGTTCTAAATGTATTTTAAATGTCTTTTAAACGTTTTTTACGTAAGAATGTTTAGAAGACGTTTAAAAGACATTTAAAATACATTTAGAACGTAACTTTTAAAACCAAATGCCCGTCGGGTTGTTAGAAAAATAACAAAAACGTTTTCATAGTAATTGTCCTGAATGTCAAATGACAAAAAACTCGATTTTTGAATTTATTTATATTATTAGTGAAAAATCTTTTTACGTACCTTATTTTTCTTTGGCACTCCTTTGGTGCATACTGTCTCTTACCCTCTTCATCTCGGCGCCCCTTAAGCTCATCGCATATGTTTTATTACTTTAGAACTAACTATTAAAAACTATTAAACTATTAAAAACTCTACCAAAAACTCGGGTAAATACATATTGCGATTAAGGAACGCAAATTACAATGCCGAAATATTAGGGGCAATGGAAAAACTTTACGTTGTTAAACAACCAACTTATTTTAAAAATTAAATTAAACTTACTAATTGCTTTTCTTTGTTCCAAGTTGTCTTTGTTCCTTCTCGCTTGAGGGTCTTTTTTATAGCTATTAGTTTATGATATAAAAGGTGAAAATCAGAGTTTCAATGAGTTTCACCTAATGAAATCATTTCTAAAATACGCGTTTCAATTATGTAGAAAATTCCCTAAAAAAAAACAATTTAGTCTTAAATTTCATTAATATAAAATGTAAAAATACCAAAAGAAATAGCAATAGATAAATACTTACGAGGTGAAAATTCAAACTACCTCATTTAAAGTATATTTTTCCAACATGTTTTGTTTGTAGTTGTAATGTTAGGAAATCAATTGCGGACATGCATACGGATTGCCATTTTTAATAATGTACCATAATGACAATAGATAGTAATTCTTCTTCAATGAAAATTCTAAATGATCATTTCATTTTACTTATTTTAATTGAAGTAATCAAATAAATAAAATCAAATAAAAAAAAGAAAGAAACAGAAATCTTTTGATGGGCCTTATATAATAATTATCTAATTTTCAGTCTAATCTGATAAATTTAATGAATAACTCTAGTCTTGAAATTAATATAATAAATAACTCTAGTCTCGAAATTAATCTAACAAATAACTCTAGTCTTGAAATTAATCTAATAAATAACTATAGTCTTGAAATTAATCTAGTAAATAACTCTGGTCTTTAAACTATTCTAATAAATAACTATAGTCTTGAAATTATTTTGATAAATAAATCTGGTCTAGAAATTAATATAATAAATAACTCTAGTCTTGAAATTAATTTAATAAATAACTCTAGTCTTGAAATTATTCTAATAAATAACTATAGTCTTGAAATTAATCTAGTAAATAACTCTGGTCTTTAAATAAATATAATAAATAACTATAGTCTTGAAATTATTTTAATAAATAAATCTAGTCTAGAAATTAATATAGATAACTCTAGTCTTGAAATTAATCTAATAAATAACTCTAGTCTTGAAATTAATCTAATAACTTTAGTCTTGAAATTAATTTAAAAAATAACTCTAATCTTAAAATTAATCTAATAAATAACTCTAGTCTTGAAATAAATTTAATAGACAACTCTAGCCTTAAAATTAATCTTATAGATTACTCTGGTCTAGGAGTGAATCAAACAATTAACTCTCAAAACTTGGATAACTGAAATTATTTAAACAATTTATTACTAACTACTAATTATTTTGGCTTATTTAAATGAAATTTTTTTGAATATTTTAAATGCAATCTTTACTTAACCGTATAATTACTATAAAAAGCTACTTTTTACATTCTTAAAATATTGTTTCTAACTTTATCTTTAATTTTTTATGTCCTCTTTTTTCCAATATTGGAAAATTTTTAATTGCAAGCAACACCTCATGCAATTGAGGTATCTTTTTTTGTAAAAAATGAGCACGAAAAGCTTTATTAATTGCTTCATTTTCCTCCTCAGTCCATGTTTCCCATGTCTTTTTCTATAAATTAATAAACATATTTTAATAAGCTGAAACATTTTAAAAAGTTTACAAACTTTAAAAATATTTTTAAAATATTACATTTAAACCAGTTGTGATACCAATAAATACCTTTTTATGAGGTTTTAACATGTCCTCACAGTTATTAATTGGTGTGTTCTGTTTTCTTTTTTCTATAGAAAAATATTTATCAAATAAAATAAGAAAACAGATTATTACTGCATAAAGGGTTGGTATTCCCAAACTCTTTAGCCATGTAACAATTTAAAAATAATTTAAAATTTTATTTTATTGTTAAATATTACCATTTACTATTACCTGACGGTTTACCCATTGGAACACTAACACCATGAGAGTTATTTTCCAAAACTCCAATACTTTCATCAAGAACTTCATCGATCTTCTTGTTCTTAACAGATTTTCCATCATCGATCGCTACAAGAACTTTAGCTACTTTGGTTAGCTCTATGGTAGCGTCTTCCTTTCTATACCAATTCATGTGAACATCTTTAGTATGACCAAAATGGTTTGTAAGCCATGTTAATTCAGCATTGTTCATATCTAGTAGCTGCATCATAGTTGCCAAAAGTTTGCGTGTTCTTGTAGGTGTTATAAGTCTTGGTTGTTGAAGATTTGAAACACTCTTAGTTATGTTTTGAAGAGTATCCCAACCTTTTAAATAAAACTCACCGTATGCGAAAACGTAAGGGTTATTATCATGAGCATCTAGATATGACCTATGCTTTACAATTAATCTAATAGCATCAATCATTTCACTTGTAAAAAGTATAGGCACTAAAGCATTTTTACTCTTCCCTTTTTTATTTTTCCCTTCAATATAGCAAACCTGCATACGATCGGCAAGAATTTTTTCTACAGGGTCATCAAGGCTGTCAATATCAGTTCGCCTTTTCCATCTTCCATCCTCAACACCTTGCCACTGCAAAAGTTTTAATTTTGATACTTCGCCACCACGCCTAGCATTAAAAGTTAGTACTCGTGTCAAAGTTAATTTAGCAAGTTGTTTTACATCTTTATTTGAAAAACTAGAAGACTCAATGCGATAAACACTGTCTCTCATTTCATCCAAAATGTGTTTTCTTAAAATCATTATGTCACCCTCCAATGGTAGTTCTTCAGGCTGATTTGCTTTATCAGATTCATAAGTTGACCTTGCATTTCCTGCCATAACTTGCCAGTCACTATCATATAACTCTAAAAAGTTTCTTATTTTTTCAATTTTAATAGAGCAATTTTCTCTCAAAGCAAGTGCTCTGACAGTAAGTGCTAGATTGCGTAAACAAAAACCTGCCTTTAGAAAAGTATTAGGTTTTCCTATATCTCTAGGGCCATTATATTTAGAGAGAATTTTGACTGCTGAAGTAATAAGATCAAAATTTTCAGGTAATACCAACAAACTTGCAACAGCATTTTCTTGCTTATCATTCTTTCGAAATATTTGCAAGATTCGAGCAAGGCAACGCAAAGAATACCTTATGTCATGATATCTATCTTTTTGTTTTTTTTGCATTTCAACAGCAGCATACATTAATAATGAATTATCATTACGAATAATAAGGTGAAGATCGTCACGCTTCATTTTTGATAGTATGAGCTCATGCACTTCACCAAATTTCTTATCACCAACAGCTACACCAAGCATAGCTCGACTTGAAGATAAATTTTTATTTAAAGATATTTCCATAAATTTTGCTTTACAGTTTTTAGTATGTTTGTAAAGAGTTTTAGCATTAAACATGCCATGACAATTTATGCAAGGTACAAGCTCCATTACTTTGGCTGATGACTCTCTTACAACAAAAAGATTGTTTTGATTTGCTTTTAAAAGATTTATATTAGCTATGTAATCGCCTTGCCTGGTAATTAGTTTCCACGCCTGAGACCTTTCTTTACTTCTCAATGGGTAAAAAAGCGCTTCCTTAACATCATCTTCTGTTTTATGAATATTCATAAAATGTCGAGGAGGGTTCCAAACACGTTTTTTACAATACAAACAAAAGTGCATTTTATGACCACTTTTTCGTTTCGGAATATCTAGAATTAGTTTTTAAATTTTATTATATTGTATTAACTTATTGGATTATATACATAATCCAAGAGTGAAATGAATTTTAATTTAACTATATTTAACTATAATTATTTATCTATAACTAAACAGTTTTTAACAAAACAATAAATTATTTACCAACAGCATCACCCTTAATTTTGCAGACAACTGTATCAGTTAAATTTTCAATAGATTTTTCAGAAGAAATCTGCTCATAGTTACTCAATTTGGATGTTATAGAACTGCTGACATCAGAATAGCTACAAGAAGCTTGACAATCTTGCAGTATGGGATTTATCTTGGGAATTTTTTTATCCATAACTGATACATTAACATCAACCCTTTCTATTGAAACATTTGCTTCCTCAATTTCATCAAGATCACTACTTTCATCACTACTTAGGTTGCTTGGTTGATAATCGCCATCACTACTGTCATTCTTAAATAAATTGAATAATATAAATATAAAACCATTATATTTTTATATTAAAAAAAAGCTATTGTTATAAATAAAGAGAAAGTAGAAATACATCATACATCAACCTCATCTACATCATGCTCAACTTCAACAAAACTCTAAAGAAAGTAAAAAAAACATTTAATTGAATAAAAATGTAAAAAATGTAAAACTTAAAACAAAATTAAGTATTTACATTCATTGAATGTATTTCTAAGCCACTGTCTTCTTCAGCACTGGTCTCTGCATTTTCTGTCTGAAAAAGATGTTCTAATGGAATTATGATTTATAAAAAACTGGTTGAAAATAAACCTGGGATGTCAAAGTTTAAGTATCAGTAACTTGTAAAAGTAGGAGATCCTCAACAGACTTAAGAATCGGTTAAAAAAACAACTATACTGATTTCTTTGAAAAAATTTTAAATTTATACTTTTGTAATTTATTAATTAATAACTTTACAAAATACAAGCGGGTTTAAAAATTTATTAAACAGGTATTGACAACAAATAAGTAAAATAAGACACATGATGTAACAAATCATAACTTAAATTCTAAAAAAAAGCTAAAAAAAAAAACATACTTCATTCAATGGTGAAGATGGAATTTCTTTTTTAGCCTAGATAATGTATGGAAGATTAAACAGATTTATTTAATTCTATATGCAACAAGTTGTAAAAAAAAAAAAGAAGATAGCTTTAAGAAATTTATAAATTAAACAAATAATATTATTTAAAATTTTACTACTTATGAAAACTTTCTAGATACCCGTAATTTTAATTTGTAGGTAGAAATTTTATTTGGTGTTGAAGTAAGAAACTTCTAAAGTAACAATAAATAATAATATTTATATCACAAATAAATTTTTTTTAATCGATTAGATACTGAAAACAAATATATTACAATCTTACATTATTATCAACCTGAACATTACAGATTTCTTGGCGCTGCAAAGATTTCTCAATAAGAAACTAAAATTATTATTGCAATATATTTAATGAGAGTCAGATAAATAAATAAAACTAATTAAAATATTCAATTTTTTCAAATAATTCAAATATTGAAATATTTACATCGAATTCACCATCAGAAAACATATTTTCAATATCCTAAAATTATAAATAAGAACTTTAAAACGTTATATTTGAATGAAAATTGTAAAATATCATAGAATAAGTTTATAGGATTCTATTTTAAAAGCATGTAAGAAAAATGGCACAAACATATAAATAATCAAAATTCTGATTAGGGTTTCCAAAAAGCCACACTTAAAAAAACTGGCAGTTTACGTTTCATAATTTTAAAAAATTGTGATTGACCGCAGTTTTTGGTTTTTCTTGTAAAATAATAAAAGTTAAAGTAAAAGTAAAATAATAAAAGTTAAGTTAAGTTTATCTTTATCTCATAAGTTTATGTTATCTATGGAGATATATAATTGTAAATCTTTTTATGATTTTATGTTTTTATGCTCGTAATGGTTCTGCAAAAACTCCTGTTTAAACTCATCAGTGGATTTGGGAAGTGTGTGATGCTATCTTAATTAAGAAGTGTATTTAATTCATCTTTAGGATAATCAGTTAAACTTTCTGATGTTGTAAACAGGTGTGGATACAGAAAGAGAGAGGAGGGGGAGGGGTGATGTTAATAGTTCAATATTCACAATACCCCATTATTTGAAAATCCCACTAGACATTCATTTTTATTTACTTTTTTACTCGCACGAGCATGTTTTGGTGGCTTGAATCAAAAGTTTTTAAACTGTAGAGCTGGTGTTAACTAACTTTCAACTGGCATTAATGAACTTTTAAACTGTTATTATTAGTTTGTAATTCACTGGTATTAATAAACCTCACATAATATGCAGTTTTTATGCACATTAAAATAAATGATTGCAAAATAATTGGAAAAATTGCAATGCAAGTTGTTTTGGAACTGC